AAAAAAAAAAAAAACAAAAACAAAAAGCACCAAATCTCGGTCACTTCCATCAAACAGGAGCTTAATTTAGCTCTGGCCACCTCCTGAATTAGCCCCAAACGCTCCCATTAAAAGGCAAGACGCCCAGCCTAAACCCAGCGGAAGGGACAGACACAGGGAAGGGGAGGGGAGGGGAGGGGAGAGGGGAAAGCCAGCTTTCCCAAGTCATCCCTAATTCCCACATCGGCTACAGCCAGCATTAAAGGTTTGAACCATCCCAGACAAACCCTGGACACTGTCAAAACCACGCGAGGCTTTGCTGGCTTGGTTTGGGGGGTTGGGTATTTTTATTTTTCCAAGACAGGGATTAAAAACTTGAAAGATGAAGGAAAATAATTTAAAATCTGGGTCCCATTTTATTTTCTCCGGTTTTTGTTTTTTGGTGGGTTTTTTTTCTTTTTTTCTATTAAGTAAAATAAAATGGGCGCGTTTGCAGCAGGCAGGCGTGCACAAAGCAATGTTCACTGAAGTCTAAAAGCGTTCGGCCAAGGAAAACTGACAAGACGGACTAATGAACCGTAGAGAGGGGAAGAAAATAGCCAGTATTTGCTAGATTTCAAACCCCCTCTGTCTTCCCCGGACCACCTATCTCGGATTTTATTATTATTTTGGTAAACGGCTCCAGCCCTTCCTTTCCTAAGCCACCGAGAAGCCAGCGATTCGCGGATACCACTTCTATTATTGTAAAGGGTAAATAAAATAAAGACAAAAATTAAAAGCGACAAGAAACAGGTCGAGTTTGCAGGCGATGCTTTTACAAGCTCATCTCGCCAGGTCGAATCCGGGAGCAAGCCTTAATGAAGCAATAATAGCCACATTATTCAAAAATTTTCATTTCGATGGAAATTTATCTAAAAGGGACTTAATCATATGCAAATAATAAAAGGAGGCGTAGTGACCCAGCGAGCGATCTGCATACAAATTTCAGCATGTGCGGCGTTGGCGAGATCATACCTGATCTGTTAGATTTGCTGATCTTGTTATGTCTTCACTGTCCGATTTTGATCCGCCCTCTCTATCGTCTATGACCAAATCGATAGGCATTTTTCCTTTCAAACAGCTAATATACCGGTGGCAGAAATTGTCACATAATTCGTGTACCTACATTATGACAGGCGTTAAAAAAAAAAAAAAAAAAAAAAAAAAAAAGAGGAAAAATAAATAAGAAAGGGGGGGGAGAAAATATAATCAGGAATACATAAGTAAAATTGACAAGTGCAACCAGTCTCCCCCCTTCACCCCTGTGACATCAAAAGTCCTAAATAGGGGAAACACACTGCAATTATCCCCCTGAGACCTCTAGACGCATCCAGAATTAGGAATAACTTTCTTTTCTCACAAAATAGAGATATCCCAGAAAATTGACAGTGACAAGATGATTCACAGGCTACAACATATTCAACACCCGTGTTAAATTCATCTGCTCCCGGAGCTGTGGCCATTAGAGAGGTGACCTGCATGGGTGACATTTAAGGTAAACTATTTAATTTCATCCAGTTATTTCATCATAAACCCTTTCCAAAGGGGTATGAGGACAGAAAAAAGGATTTAAGAAAAAAAAAAAATCCCGGTGCACTGGGCTGAAATACATTATAGGCATTCGTGCCCTGAAATCCCCAGTCACTCTGATAGACTCGTACCTGAACCGCCTCTATTAATGGGCAGATTTTAACACATTTTGGGTAGAGCAAGAACAACTTGCCAGTTATGGTTAGATAAAGTGGCTGAGGCTCCCGAGAAACTTTTCAACTATTTAAAAACCTCTCAAAATGTTTATTTTTAGGAGAAAGGGAATTCTCTTCTAGACCAGCTATCAATGACACGTAAAAAATCCTCAGGAAACCAGAGCGCACTTCCAATTTAACGTGAGCTCGGATGACACTGCCTTCTTAGAAATTAGCATTCTCCCTCCTAAGATTTCTAAAATAGCCAGCAAAACCCCCTGCATTTAGTCTGCAATCTCTTTCTTCTGCTCGGAGGTGTACAATATTCCCAGGAACAAGAGACAGACACAACTATCAACTCTGCTTTGTCTCTGCAAAATGTTACAGGACAATCCCTGCCCTGAGCCTGACCTGCAGATGGCTCTTAAAAAAAAAAAAAAAAAAAAAAAAAAAAAAAAAAAAACCCAAAAAAAAAAAATCCCCATTCCAACTAACTGCAACCAAAGTCTCTACCCTACCACCACCAAGAAAAAAAAATATAACTTTTTTTAAAAAAAAATCCCAATTTCAGGGGCTTGGCTGAACAAACCATTTCGAGTCTCATCTGCGACACCACAGAACTGCAACTATTTATACAAAGCCAGCAAAGTATTACAACGAACACAAGGCCTGGGCGTTTGAGAGCCCAGTTTTAGAGGCTGAAATTGTAATTAAACTGCGAAGAGAAATGGACGTCAAGATTGGTCTTGACACTAATTACCAGAAAGAAAGACATTTATGCAAATTTACCAGAAGCCTGAACTTCAGCAGTACTGAAACGGAGGAGGAAGAAAGAGAGAGACAAAAATTACCTTCTCTAATTCCAACAGATGAAACCTTAATACTTGTATGGCTTGAATCATCTGCAAAGATACAAACAACACGAGTATTTATCTCATTCCTGGGTTTGGGGATATTTCCCACAGCCGCCCCTGACATACTTTGTAGCTCGACTTTAGTAGTAAATAAAAAGTTGTTTTGATTTATGGCAATAACACTAAAACTTAATAGCGGTGGCTTTGTGCGCTGTTTAACGAGAAGTGATCTAGAGTTAACCAAAAAAAAAAAAATCCCTATTGCAATGTAGCAACAAAATTATATGGATCATAAACATTCCTCTTTTTTTAAAAAAAAAAAACTCTAAACATCACCGCTGGCTCCTCGCTTTGCAAAAGCGGGTGCAAGACTCCTACAGCAGAGGCAAAATATTTGTTTATCCTTAAGGAGAAAAAAAAAAAAAAAGAGAGAAAAGACCTCATTTTTGGTGAGTTAGGGAAAAGTGCATCTCCAGCCACAGCAATCCTTTACGTTTCTCATTGAGCCGCTTAAAAGGTGCGTGGAGGGGCTGGCGACAGCGTAGATAAATCCACACTCCTCTTGGACAGGCGAGCTCGCCATCAAGCCTGCAAGCTCCCCTTTGGATGGGGCTTTCTTTCTGTATATCCTTATGGGATTTTTTTACTTCCACACAATTACCGCATCGTATTTACTTGTAATTAGAAAAATCACCATAGAATAATAATTAAAAAAAAAAGGTACAAAATTATCAACTCTTAAGGAAGCAATTCAAGGAATGACCAGGGAAAGGGTGAGGAGCATTTCTGTGCAGAGGATTGAATCTAATTCTGACATCTGGAGGGGGGCTGT